GGGGGTCTCCTAAAAAGTGGGAGCCCCCCTCCTACCCCGTTAAAAAAGGGGGGTGGGGGTACCCCGAAGTTTTTTGGCGCCGCTCCTGAACGGGCGGCGCGTTGACCTGTGACTGTCCCAGCGCTGTGGCTGAGTAGTCCGCCCCCCGGGCCGTAGACCTCGGGCCGGCGCTGGGTTTCGGTTTCGGGGTTTCCGCGGCGGTGAGGGCGGGGGGTGTCCTTGTGGACTCGCGGCTTTATCTCTCGCCGACACCGGCGGGGGGAGGAGGCGGCTACGCCGGTGTTGCTGGCGACGGCCGCATCCCGGCGCTGTCGTGACGGGGGTTGTGGTGGGGGGGGGGAGGAGAGTCAAGTCGCTGCCGCCTCACGACGGAGAGAAATGCCTTTCTCTTTCTCGGCGTGTCCTATAGCCCACGCCACGGTTTGTGTGCGTGTGTGGAGAGGAAAAACCCTGTCGGTGAGACTCGTCTCTCATCCCTGTGGCGTCGGAGCCCCGCAGGCCCGGCCGAGCGGCGCTGTCGTCGGACGCGGTGGCCGCCGAGCTGAATTTGAAGGACTACAGCAGATGGCGAGGTTTAACTCCGACCCCCCCGCCCGCCCCCAGCTCAGTACCGTAGAAGTAGATTAAGCGCCCGTTTCCCGAAGCAGTTGAGGCAAAATCTGCAGCGGAATTATTTTTTTGTTTATGTCTCGTATGGTATGAAAACTCGGCTGCGACCCGGTTGTTTTTGTGAGAGCAGCTGCACCTGGGTATCGAAGTGACGGGGGGACACGGGTCATCGGTTTCTCAGTCCTAGGCAGAGAATTTAACTTAGGTCTTAATTAAGGTCTCGTTTTCTTGATGGTGAAGACGGGACTTCACAACCCTTTCCAGCACTACCGGGGGTACCTCTTGAGTCGAGAGCACTCTGGAGTGCAGCAAACAGCGAAACCTCACCCACGACTTAGCCCGGACTCTTTCTGAGCTTTGTCCCTTTTGGCCGTTACCGTTTAATTCACCAGATAGCCGTGGAAATCCACTGTTCACTGTTGATGATGGTGATGTTCCGAGATCCGAGATGGCGTCTGATCGGTTTTCTGTTTGTTTTTTTTAAACCCAGGTTGGAAACAACCTTGAGTTTATTTTAACCCCACAAGTGGGCTTTAGGGTTTGGTCCTCTACAGACCTCAGTGATCACCAGGCGAGAGCTTCCTTTCATTTAAGATCAGATCACTTTATTGGCCCTATACAATTTCTCATATTAGGAATTTGTCTTTTCGCAGACCCCAGCTTGCTCTCCATGAGACACAGACAGGGAGAGAAGCTGGGGGGTCAGAGCGCAGGGTCAGCCATTTATACAGCACCCCTGGAGCAGTTGGGGTGAAGGGCCTTGCTCAGGGGCCCAACGGGGTAGGATTCCTCTGCCGGCCTCGGGATACGAGTCGGCAACTTCCCAGCCACAGGCGCAGATCCTGAGCCACAGAGCCGCCCCCTACCTGTACCGATTTTTAATTTTTTGCTTTCATGGCGCAGTTCTCGAGTTAGTGGTAGGACACCCACAGAGCCGTCAATCTTGGGGCACTGAAGGAGTCAGCACTACCTCAGAGCACAAACCCAGGATCAGTTCATGCACGTGGGGGTCACCTAAAAGTTCTCAGAGTGATAAAAATACCAGCTGGTGGGAAAACTATACAATTGAGGAACCTGTGGATTCACACGTTGTGATTCCAAGGACTTGAAGTTTTAGTCATCGTTCCATTCAGGTTTGATGGCTTCCTGTGCTGCCTGGACTGGGGCTCTGTGTGAGTACAGTTCGAGCCTCACCTTAGCGTGAGCTCTGTTTTGACTTGCTTTTCTTCCAAGCAACTTTAAAGCTGGTGAGATATACGAAGCTTGCATGTCCTAACTGCTACAAGGCTGTTTTGAAACCTCCTGGGTGTCCATTTACACCAAAAGCGCACTCTAAAAAAAAAAAAAAACAACAGTTCTGACGGTTGATCTTCCACTCAAATCTGTTTTGCAAATTAGCAGACGGCTGCTCTCCGAAGCCTTCTCATTGTCTTGTTTCGCACAGCTGTGCTTGAATTGGAGCTGGCTGCCATGTCTGCTCTGCTCAGATGCATTGGAACTACAGATCCCAGCATTCCTGGCGACAGCAGGTCAGCCGAAGGGGGGGAGGTCACAAAGCAGATAATGCCGCCTTTCCCATCTGAACCTGCCCCTGGCGAAACCAAACCGGCCTGAATTTAAGCAGCTCTGCACCTCGTGTTTGACTCAGTGCTGTGAAAACGATCCAGAGGAGGGGCTAATCTGTGGATTGTTCTTGTTGCAACCAAATGTTGGAGAGAGGCACCGGTGGTCCTGATAAGTGCATTAGCTGAAACTGCTCAGCTCAGCCCACCTTGAGCTTAAGGCAGGAGTAACAGCTGTTGCCGAGATGGCAGAGAAGATTTGGACTCGATATTTCTGCTTCCTCGAGCATCTCCCTGCCTCTGAATCCACTACCCCCAACCCCCCCAAAGCCCCTGGAAAATCTGATATCTCTGGACTTAACAGATCCCTGGCTGTCGCTACAGATGGAGCCCGGCCTTTCATTATTTAACTGGTCTGCCCGGAGAATTTCCTTGTGAGCTCTCGGAAATGTTTATCGTTTTTTTTCGTTAATTAGAAAATTGCTTTCACCCTCCCCCTTGCTTGGTCTTAGGGTACAAAGAGCATGTTCCTAGGCGAGCAGTGGGATTAACTGTTAAATCTGTGGCATAGCACAGTCTCTTAGGTGTTTTTGTCATTTGGCTGATTACGCTTCGTGATATCGCAAGAGTGCCAGATGCAGGTTTGAGCACATTTCCGAGCGGGGGGTTTTGTAGTTGTAAGGTTGATCATCCCCGTTCATCCGTCACAATTCCTGACCCATTCCTAGTGTTGAGTGGTGGGGCTTCGCTCGGTCACTTCAGCACTTCTTCCAGGGCTGAGGTGCTCGGAGTTTGGGTGGGTTTGCCAGGTGCTAATCGGAGGTGTGATCAGTTGAGGCTTTTCTTTGAAGAGTAGGGGGCCGGTTCGTCTCGAATTCTCGCAAATGCCTGCAAAACTCACGCAGATGGATCCGAAGATCACCTATTTTCACCTATTAACCCAACCCTTCCATCGGAGGCCCGAGCCTCGTTTTTATCCTGGTGTCCGAGACTTTGACCAGTCGTTGGATGCTTGGCTTCTTACCGGCAGTGAGGTTTGAACGGAGGGGCTGAATGTCGTCTCCTCTCCCGTCTCCCTCTCCAGGTGGCTGAGCTGGTGGTGGATAACTGCCGCTCCGGCGATGGCGAGGTGGAGGGTCTCACCGATGACTTCAAGGAGCTGGAGTTCCTCAGCATGGTCAACGTGGGCCTGACCTCCTTGGCCAAACTGCCCTCACTCCCCAAGCTACGCAAGGTGAGTGGGGCCATGGGTGCTCTACATTGCCACCTGCAGGATGTGGACTGGACTGCATTAGTTATCCCAGTAGATGCAACACAGCTCCTTACACTTATATAGCTCTTGTGTGGACACTCCACTCCAAGCGCTTTACAGGTCATGGGGATCCCCTCCAGCACCACCAGTGTGCAGCCCCACCTGGATGATGTGCCAGTCCACTCCCCATACACCAGCTCTCAGTGGGGAGGAGAGCAGAGTGATGGTCAGTTCTTAAATGGGGATGATTAGGAGGCCATGATTGGTAAAGGACAGGAGGAAATTTGTCCAGGACCCAGTGGTAACACCCCTACTTTTTTCGAGGAATGCCCTGGGATTTTTAATGACCACAGAGGGTCAGGACCTCAGTTTTGTTTGTATCGGAAGGATGGCACCTTTTGTACAGTATTGTCCCTGTCGCTATACTGGGGCATCAGGACACACATAGACTGCAGGGTGAGCGCCCCCTACTGACCCCACTAGCACCTCTTCCAAGAGCAGCCTTAGCTTTACCAGGAGTCTCCCATCCAGGTACTGGCCAGGCTCACACGTGCTTAACTGGCAGCCCACTGAAGCTGTGATCTGCAGGGTTATATACCAGCTGGCAGTAAATGATTTACAGTTGGCTATTAAAGCTATTAGTTGGCTTACTGTAGAGCTTGCCATTCTTAAACGGCTTTGGGAAAAACACTTAATCGGTATGGTCATGGCCTTGACGTTTATTCATATAAAGGGGAAAGTATTGGTTTCTGCTATCTTAGTCCTTTTCAGTCAAAGTTTATTTAAAAGCTCAAGGCATGATGGTGATGTCTCAATTGAATGGCATGAGAATCTGAGCATTCTTGCTCTGGGACTGTCCTGCCAGGAACTGAGCTTTGGATTAGAAATAACCTGTTTTAATGGTTGTAAGCTGTCGATAATATTGATTGGAAGATTTTGGATCTGACTAGAGTACTTCATGTAATAATGGACAGATTACTGCTGTTAAGGGTTTAATGAATTATCCTGGCTAATTGCTTCCACCCAGCACTCCTCAGTCCTGCTGGTGCAACTTTGACTCCCTCAGTGACTGGAGACTTGGGTGTGGTTAAGATCCAGTATGTGGATTGTGATGAAGATCCGGTTGTGATGGCCGTGATCCAGTCTTGGTCTCATTCAAACCAGTGCTTAGACCCCGTGGTTATCCTGGGTGTGAGGATCACTGCCCTGGGCTTACAGGCTCTGCGATGTTTCTCCATCTCTGGCAGCTGGAGCTCAGCGACAACAACATCTCCGGAGGCCTGGAGACCCTGTCAGAAAAATGTCCCAGCTTGACCTACCTGAACTTGAGTGGGAACAAGATCAAAGACCTGGGCACCGTGGAGGCGCTGGTAAGGACTGTCGATGGAGTGCCCACCCGACGCTGGTGGGGTCTCCCCTTTTTGTGAGGGGGGATTCCTGCTCTCTGGGGTCGCTGCCGCCATTAGGCTCTTGTGCAGGCGGGCAGTGACCGTTACTCCTTCAGGCTGTTGAATGCAAAGTACATTTCAATACCTCGTCTCACAGTTTGCCTTCAGTGACCTGTTGCAAGCCAACAAACACGCTGTTGAAAAGGAGCAGAAACCGAATTGTAGACTCCCGTTGAAAATGTAATTTTCCTGATATCATCTGCTCATTCTTCATATTTCATAAGTCTCCAAGTGGCATCTGTATCTAAGAGGATCACTTAAAAGAAAACTGCAGCTCCAGTTTCTCAGACCGGTTATTAAATGTTGGTAACAAAATAAATTCATGTTACCATGTCGCAGACTTGCATGCAAGTTCTCACGAATTGCAGTGTGAAGCCGCCCTTCCTGCTCGCTAGTCACTGTAATGACTAATGTAGTAATAATAATTAATAATTGCTTACACTTATTTAGTGCTTTTCTGGACACTCCACTCAAAGCGCTTTACAGGTGATGGGGATCCCCTCCACCACCACCAATGTGCAGCCCCACCTGGATGATGCAACGGCAGCCATAGTGCTCCAGCACGCTCACCACACATCAGCTCTCAGTGGGGAGCAGAGTAATAAAGCCAATTCATAGATGTAACTGGTGCAGAGAAGAATAGTAGTACAGCCTATTTTAAAAGGCAAATATTGGGGGGGGGGGTAGACACTCCCAGGCCTAGGTATAAAGTCCTGGCTATGCCACTGGTAGAATAACTGAACGTATATCATCCATAAGAGCCAGACATTGAGTGGTGGGGCGGGGTAGCTCGCTGGGCCCCTGAGCTCATGCCAACTGGCCTCTTCCTCTGCAGCAGAACCTGAAGAACCTGAAGAGCCTGGACCTGTTCAACTGCGAGATCACCTCTCTGGAGGAGTACCGGGAGAGCATCTTCGAGCTGCTGCCCCAGATCACGTACCTGGATGGCTTCGACCAGGAGGACAACGAGGCCCCCGACTCGGAGGCCGAGGAAGAGGAGGACGGTTAGGAAGACGGGGGAGCGGGGGGTCACAGGAGGTTTTCTGAATGAGGAGGGCGGGTCAGGCGCGCCGCGGTGGTTTTCCCTGGCGCTGGCTAATCGGGGCCAGACCAGCCAAAGGGTCCCGCAGCCCTGCCTGTTTCTGCCTTTAACCCTCAGAAACGGCAGCCAGCTGCCAGCTTCAGTCACTCAGGCTGAAACGACATTTGTTCCCCCTCGTTTGTGGACCCTTAATTTAGCTGTTACTTCTGTTAGGGCCCCTCAGAGTGAAGATTGTAGTTTGTCCTTTGTAGTCAGGATTTAGGCAAAAGGGAGCTGCGTGTGGAATTCAAACGCGTGACCTGCAGTCTCTTCCGCTTTGTCTTGTCCACGGGGCTCGGCTCGGGCGCTGGCTGCCCCTCCAGGGGTGCACGCGTGCAGAGCTTGTGCCGTGTGCCGAGACCTCTTGCGGTGTACCTGTGTGTTGGTTGAAGTACGCGAGAACTCCCTCTTTCTTTTAATTGCTTACCTTATTTTTTTAATAAGTAGCACAGGTAGCGTAGCTGGAGAGAACTGACATAAGTGCAAAATAGTATGAACCTGGAGATCATGATCGGGGACCCCAAGCCTGGCTGGTCTTGATAATGTCTTAATTATCAGTCTTGATAATGAGGCGTCTAGTGGATTTAATAGTCCCTTCTAGTGGATTACTGTACCTTCAGCCCAAAAATGCTTGCTTGCTGGTTCTGTTTGCAGACTGTTCTTGCAAAGCAAATCACACTCTACCCTCGTCTCCGATGCTGCTTTTTCCTGTTCACCTGTTGGGTCTTTGTTTTCATTAGCCAGTGGCGGCCCTCACACTCCGCATTTTCACTTCCTCACAAATGGGTTTTTTGCAGGAACAGACAGCAGACAGCCACTTCTTAGCACCCCTTCCATTTAAGACCCATGCACCGTGTGTTCAGTTGTCGGTGTTAACCACGAATTGCATTTATCGGACTGGGTCTGCATAAAGCATATCTTCAGGCATCGTCAAAGCACAGGTGCTGTGGTTTTGATAGCAGGTAGACAAGTTATTCAGAGGCTCTTTTGACCAAACCTACAAATGTCAACTTAAGTTCCATTCATCTGAGTTTACTGGCTGCAAAGTGTCAGACTTCCCAGATGCCTATTGTGGGGGGTAAGTGGGGGAGGGGGGCGTGGTCCTCTTATAATAATAATAACATCACTTTATTAACCCTTTACAATATCTTGCGTTAGGAATTATCTTTTCGCATAACCCAGCTTGCTCTCCATGAGACACACAGACAGGGAGAGAAGCTTGGGGTCAGAGCGCAGGGTCAGCCATTGTACGGCGCCCCTGAAGCAGTTGGGGTGAAGGGTCTTGCTCAGGGGCCCAGCGGAGTAGGATTCCTCTGCCGGCTGCAGGATTTGAACCGGCAACCTTCCAGCCACAGACGCAGATCCTGAGCCACAGAGCCAGCGCTCCACTTCGCCCTTGACACTAGTCTCAGCATTCAGAAAGTGTTTCGTGGCTTTTGCTCGATGTGAAGAGTTTGTTCCTGGTTCAGCAAAACCCCAGGCCGCTCCAGGATGAGGGAGCTGGTCACTGCAGGGTGGTGCTGCTGCGAGATCCCAGCAGGGCCACCTCTCCTGACTCCTGTGCATTTCTGTGCAGAGGGGGAGGACGATGACGAGGAAGGAGCCGGCCCCCCAGGGGAGTATGGGGACGAGGAAGACGAGGAGGAAGGCTCTGATGGCGGGGAAGAGGAGGTGGGGTTATCCTACCTGATGAAAGAGGAGATCCAGGTACACTTGCCCTGTTCACCTACTTCATTCACTTAAGAGCTCAACACTGACCACGTCAAACACCTTAAAATGGGTTTCCCCCCCACAAGGGAGCAGTGCAGAGCCGCCTGGCACATCGCAGACTTGTGGAACACCTTAACCAAGCCCATTTTAATACAGTTTGTACTGATGGAAAAGAACTACGACTTGTTAGGATGTTAGTGGCCACATGAACAGTCTGTTCAGTTAACATTAATTGCTTCTTACGAAGACCAGTTTAATAACAGTAAGCTGTACAGTAGGTTTTCATAGCTGTAAGGCATATGGGTCAGTGTGGTGCGGAGGGCAGCGGGTTTGAATCCTTAGTGGGGGCACAGCTGTTGTACACTTTGAAGCATGTCCTTCATGCCTGCATGTCCAGATGTGTGTTGATGCTGGTGTCCAGGAGCCTTTTCTGCTCCTTGACTGTAAGGTGCATGTCTGACAGCCTTTTCCTTGTTTAGGATGAGGAAGATGATGATGATTATGTGGAAGAAGAGGAGGAGGAAGAGGTAGAAGACGGTATGTACCAGGCTGTTGTCGCATCTGTTGATCTCTTGGCTGAATGCTTAGCAAGGGCTCACTGCACAATGCAAAACCAGGTTTACCTGCATGGCACAAACTCTTGTGGTCCTTCTGTGATAGACCTCACTGCTTGCTCCCAGCTGGCAGCCCCACTGGAGCTCAGCAGGTGTGAGCCTGGTCAGTACCTGGATGGGAGACCTCCTGGGAAAGCTGAGGCTACTGCTGGAAGTGGTGTTAGTGGGATCAGTAGGGGACACTCACCCTGAGGTCTGTGTGGGTCCTAATGCCCCAATATTAGTGAAGGGGACACTATACTGTAAAAAGCCACCGTCCTTTGGATGAGATGTAAAACTGAAGTCCTGACTCTGTGGTCCTTAAAAATCCCAGGGTGTTTCTCAAAGTGTAGAGATGTTTCCCCTGATGTCTTGGCCAAATTCCCCCCTGGCCTTTACCAATCATGGCCTCCTAATAATCCCCATCTCTGAACTGGCTGCATCACTCAGCTCTCCTCCCCACTGAGAGCTGGTGTGTGGGGAGCATATTGGCGTACTCTGGCTGCCGTCACATCATCCAGGTGGAGGTGGAGGGGATCCCCATTACCTGTAAAGCACTTTGAGTTGAGTGTCCATAAAAGTGCTGTATAAGTGTAAGAAATAAGGAAAGTAGATGTTTTAATCGCAGGTAATCAAAAACTCATTTTGGCAAGAAGTAACCCGACATCATAATTATCATTGGTGCCTAAAGGGTTATGCTAATTCTGCAGTTAAGTGGCCTCTTTGTTTTGTATATCAATGCTTCCCTGTCATGAAGGGAGGACATTGATACACAAGGCCCCCCTTATTTCTCTGTTAATGGGCAGTTTGGTGCCACATTTTAAATCTTATCCCAAGCAAATTGGAGCCCCAAATTATCTCCTCGGCTCCTGTTGGCGAGTAGGGACCCCCATGTGCAGCAGGAAGTGTTGTTCATGTGGCCCCCAGGCTCTGCAGTGCCGCATCTCTCATGGGCACCATGTGCAAGCTGTCCGCCTGGCCCACAGGAGCTGCTGTTACACAGCAGGTTTGGAGAACCCCTGACAAACTGCAGCGCCCCCGCCTGGGGGGTGCCAGTCATAGCAGGCTAGGGGCATGGCTCAGGATCAGTGGTGGTGGTGCTCGTTCAGCAGAGCGCTGTGTAACATGCGAGGATTCAGGAGCTGGCTTGCCAGGTGTATCGGAGGGGTAAGAGCTCTGCTGCATTCGTGAGGAATGTAAGCCGTATAAAAGCCCATCATTCAGCTGCAGATCTCTGCTGGTGGTGCCATCGGTTCAAGGGTTTTTTCCTAAAGGGTTTTCACGCTCAGCTGCTGTCTCTTTCTAGACGAGGAAGAGGAGGAAGGAGTCCGGGGGGAGAAGAGGAAGAGGGCCCCCGAGGACGAGGGGGATGATGATGAAGATGAAGACTAGCCCCGCCCGTCCCGGAGATCCATAACCCAAGCTGTAGAACAACCGAACGAGAGAGTGTGATATTGCGGATTGTTTCCTCTTTGTATACCATAGATATATCACTGTAGAAGCTAAGTGTTTTTTATATATATATACTATTACAGACAAAGGAAAGGTTTTAATGACAACTCATTTGTAATCATTCCAAGTTTTTTTGTTCCCCTGCTTTGTTTTTTTTTTATTCACGGGTGGGCGGGGGCAGTTGGGGGAGGGAAACCGTCAGATTGGCCCGTCTGAACCAGTGCTCTCCACAAACGGGTCGGGCCGAGCCGGCTGCGGGCCTGGGTTCGATACCGGTGGCTCGGGCCTGGCCCAGGACGGAGCGGAACAGCTGTCTGCCGGGCGCTGGCTCGGGGTGGGGGTTGGGAACAGGGGCTCCTGCTTGACGTTGGCAGCAGGCTGGTACTTGCCCATGTAGTGGTCTGAGTTTGGGGGGGGTGGGGGTGGGCGTTTGTCCCAGGAGCTCTGCAGTCTGGCAGGTCCCCCTTGATTGACCGTTGGAGACCTGTGTAAGCTTTGGATCACATAACTTATACAGTTCAATCAAGATCTTGATTTGGACTTTTTATTTTGTGCAGGATTCTGTTCTCAAGAGCCCTGTTTTGAGTCGAAATTCCACTTCCATGCAATTAGACGAAGAATTTTAAGACGGGCCCCGCGATCCCATAGGATACCCGGCATGTCTGCCGAGTCCCGACCTGCCCTCACTGTATCAGTGGGTTCCCTAGATCGGTCTCCTGCGCCCGACGTGGAGGTGGCAGCCATTGGAGATCGCACAGGAGTGTCGGGAGAACAGCTGAACGAGCTGCCCGGAGAGGCGCTTTGCAGGCGTTCGATTTCTTCGTGCTCTCCAGCAGGAGGTGCTCACGTCCCGGTGTTTTTGGTTCCTCTGTACAGTAGAAATCGACGCCTCCGCTCAAGTGTGATCTGTGGACTTGTCGGGAGGCTGCGATCATGTTGAGTCCCCATGAGAAACCCTTTTTGATTTTGAGAGAGGTCATTTATGGCAAAACCTTGTTCTGCAAAGCCCCAGTCCTGCAGGTATAGGATGAATTGTCGAATCTTTAGAGCAGCTAGAAGACCTGCAGTCAATGGTATCTGCTAATGGGTTGGTTCAGTTAGGGAACCAGGTGTATGAAGACAAGTCGCTGTATCGCAAGGACTGACTGTTGGTCCTACAGGAAAGTACCAGCTTTTGTTTCTCCTTTCGATACCTTTAACTGTGGACATAAATTGCAAAAATGGCTTTTGTTTTAATTTTGTATTTTTAGTCTGGGTGAGTTAACTTTGTTCATAAGAGCTGTGTGTATATAGTACCTGTTCCAATTCTTCAGGGTATCTCCTGTGTATTTTTTTTTTTAAACTTGGGATATTTGTCCTTTTTTTTTTTTAAATGAAAGCACAGGTCAGGAGGTAAAAATGTAGACCCGTGACACTCGATACCTAGGCTTTTATTTTGAGTCAGTCAGTGGCTGTTACAGTTGTGTGTGCGTGTGTGGCCTTTGTGTGTTAAGAGGGTTTTTAATTGAAAAAAAAATGCTTTAAAATAAAATGAGGATTTAATAAAACTTGCCCGTTTCCTGGTTTTCAAGGGTGTGAAATACACGTTTTGCTGTCAAGATCAGACCATTGTTCATCTTAGAAATGAGTTAACGGGCAGCTGCCCAAGCATCTGTGCAACAATGCATTCTCTTTGAAGTGGTAAAGGGGGTTTTAGTGCATTTTGGAGACATGGGAGATCGATAACGGATCATCTCCAGTTTTGTCTGCTGCGTACCATTCTTGTTCCAATTGTCATCCCCTGTGCAAGTTGTACAGACCTCAGGGACACACGGATGTCTCTGGGTTATTCGTGACTTCCGCAGGGAGACTGCATTGATGCCGTGAGAGACATTGAAAGCTGTGTTTTTAATTGGTCTTGCTTCTGCCTATATACTGAAGCACAAAAGATGCAGTTCTCTGGCCTAGAGGGTTTTATAGTTTGGCGCTCTCAATGCAGGTATTGAATGGATAATAGCTGGGAATGGAACAATAGCCAATCATTTCAGCAGGTCTCCTGCTGAACCTTGAAAGTTTGAAATGCCAGCTCGAGCGTTTAAAGACTCAGTTGGCGCACAGGTCTGGACAACCAGTTGTGGGAGGTTCTGTGACATGTGACATGTTTCTTCAGTTCCGAGATTGACAACATCCGGTATCACATTCTCTCCACAGCGCATGTCTCTCCCACACCTCCTCCCTGCTTTCCGGTTCCCTTCTTTCTAACTTCTCTTGTTGACGCTGCATCCCTCAGTAAACTGCTTTCACATTTGAAATTCACCACCTGTATATTAGACCCCACTCCTGCCACTTTATTCCAGTCCTGTTTCACCTCTCTCTGCTCCATTGTCTCCTCGATGTAATGAGTGCTTGAGCACTGGTGTTGTACCAACGGTCCTCAAAACTGCTGCCATCACCCCCGTGCCAAAAAAGCAAACAAACAAACATGGCTCTGGACAATTTAAACAATTTTCACCCCATCTCCATCTTCCCATTTCTTGCTGTTGCAATTCAGTTAAATAACCACCTCACTGCAAATAACCGTTTTGAACCCCTCCAGTCTTTTTTCTGACAACTTCACATTACAGAAACTGCCCTGGTCAAAGTCACTAACGATCTCATTGCTTCTAATTCTGGTTCTCTTTCTATCCTCACTCTTCTTCAGTTCAGTGCCACTTTTGATATCTTACTTTCTCGGCTTGAGAGTGTTTGAAGTTTCTGACACTGCTCTCAAATAGTTCAAGTCTTACCTCGCCGTTTGCTGTCACTGTCTCTTTTGGTGTTCTCTAGTGTTCCTCAGTGCTTGACATGTTTCAGCTTGGTCAGCTTTTAAAATCGCACAGCCTCAACTCATCTCTCAGCTGATGATACTCAAATCTCCATCCATACCAAACCTGACACTGATGTGGCTGTCTATTCTCTCGAATTGCATCTCTGACATCAATGGATGACTCAAAATTTCCTTCATCTAAACTGCCATGATTGAAGTCATGCTTATTGGCACCCCCCATCAATTTTGTAAAGTCAATCCTGTGACCCTGTCTGGGGATGTTACTGTACTTGAGCTTCAGTCTAAATTGAGAAACCTGGGGTGAGATTTAATTCAGGCTTGACATTCGACCCACATGTGCAACATATTGTCGAAACCTTCTTTTGCACGAGTAAGTCCTATGTTATCACTAACTTTGGCTGAAAAGTTGATCAACACATTTGTCTGACTTGACGGCTCGCTGGGTTTCTAGATCCACATTTAACAAACGACAGTATGTCCAACATTTGGCAGCCGGAATCCTGAGCAGGTCTAATGCAACTGATCGCATTACTCCTATCCTGGAGTCCTTGCACTTGCTTCCTGTCAAGTTTTGTGTTGACTTAAAAATCCTCACGCTCACCTATAAGTCTCTGCATGGCTCGGCACCTCAGTACCTGTCTGAGCTACCATCATCCTACTCCCCACCTTCACTCTTCTAATTCTGGTCTCCTAACTGTCCCCCCAGCCCGGCTACATACTGTGGGTGACAGGACCTTCTCCTGTTATGCCCCCAAGCTCTGGAACTCTCTCCCCAAGGATATCAGTCACCGTCTCTAAACTCCGTCAAATCCAGACTCACAACCTTCTTTAGAAGAGCCTTTGCTGTACTGGTTCTGGTCTTTACCCCTCTGCTCCTACTGTATTCAGTGCCTCATCTACTGTCTCCTCTCTTGTGCATATGTTGTATTTTTTTTTCCATTGTTATCGTTCTGAAAAGATCTTTGAGAAGCCACTTTTAAAGGTGCTATATAAAAAGGTTTTTTATTATTATTATTATTATTATTATTATTATGATGTCCTCTGCAGCTGTTGGCAAAGCCTCAGCTGTCTCCTGTAGGGGGGCACTGGCGAGCTGGTCTCACAGGTCCTTTCACATTTGGATCAGAAGAAAAAGCCGACTGTGGTAAGACATCTTGATTTGTTTTTTTTTAAATCCTGTTACTGTAACTCCAGCACTGGAATCAAACTGTGTTGATGTTAGTTTAGAGGCATCTTGGCGATATATTGACGATATATTGGCTCAACACACACGGTTTATCAGGTCAGTCAAGGGCCCCCAATAGCTTGCACTGGAGACAAAAACACTCCCAGCGTGCTCTGTAGGCCACAGGTGGTGCTTCCCCACCTGTCTTCCGCAGCTGGTCTTCCTGTATTCCACATTCTTACACTGTCCTTGGTTATTCCTCAATGGCCTCTGACTATGCAGCCTGTTTCCATAGGGATAGTGACACAGTGAGGGAACTTCGTACAGCTGGGACTGATCTGCTGTATATATGTGATGGTCCTGGACACCAGAGCAAGCTGGCCCTCCAGGTCTCTCCGAAGTAGCAGCACATGAAGTGCTGGGAGGGACCTCTTTAAGCCAGGTCCAGTTAAGCCAATCAGTGGAGTCCAGTCCTGCATTCCTGTTAAAGTGTCAAAGAGCCGAGTTGTCCAAACTGCTCTAGGAAATTGAGTCAAAAGGGAGCAAGAAAGCTTCATTTTTCAAAGACACCGACAGTGGACAGTCCAGTGCCAAGAGTAGCAGAACCCTTGTCTCGATGATGTTCACTGTTTTATTAGATTAGTTTGCTCAGCTGTAATGTGCAGCCTTAGCAAACATCTATTAATCTAGCAGCATGTTGTCAGCCTGTGGGAAGAACCCAGAGCCCCCCCCAGTGGACACCCACATGAACAGAGAGAGAACATACACACTCCCCCCAGACAGCAGCCCAGATCCACAGTTGATGGAAGTGCCCCCAGCCCTGAGCCAGCAATGCTCACCACTGCGTCACTGGGCATCACAATCCTCTACCATTTCAATTCAAATAACTGTTTCTAAAAAGTGAAGAGTTCTTCAGACAAGTGGAGCGTATTGAAGCACTTCATGGTCAAGATTAGGACAGTGTTGCGCACATGCTATTTAACCCACTGCAGAGCAAGACTGGTCATCCTAGTTACGGTACTCTATTAATGCTTCATTAACATTTTCCACTTCTAAAATGTTTAGAAATGGCATTTGTAAGCTCTAGTTTGAAGTGTGAGCCATTAAATTAATTTGTAAAGACCGAGCTCTTAGAAATTTAATGTACAGCAGCCAAAAAATGCCAGAATGGAAAACGTAGGTCAATGACGATGAAAAAAAACAACACGATTTACTATTAAAAAGCAGTGCATTTAAGACGGGGAACAGAAGGCACTTTGTTTACACAAAGGGTGGTGGGTGTCTAGCGCAGGTTATACAGATCACACTGTTAAAGTAGATTTACTAGGATTCTTCAAGAAACAGCTGTAAAAGGTCTTTGGGTCAATAAACTATCAGCAGCCACACTAATAAAATGGTTTACGAGAGCTGCAGTAAAAATCCATTTCAATATCACTCATTTGGGAAGCAAGGTGTTTTAATTTCTAAAGTAACACTGGTGTTCTCAGTCTATATTGTAGTATTTTGGTCAAATGTGCTAAAGTTTTGTAAGGATTCTGAATCTAATGAAGGATAGGGATATTTATAGGCCCTTAACTGATTCTATTGTCTATAAAAATTGAGGTAACGTTTCTCCTGCGTTTTGTCAGACTACTGAGCTTTTTAAATGCAGTTTTGGATACTCAAAGATGAGTTGATGGTTCTAAATTTACTTCAGCTGTATGTGTGATCAGGCAGCTGTACAGAAACAGCTCAAATCCAGAGGATGCCTGATCTTCACATTAGCATAATCATATTAAAGACAGGAAAATGTGACCAGACTTCCCACGAAGCCTGTTGTTAGGCTTTATAAACCCTCCGAGACATTTAATGTTTTCCTGTATCTTAATCACCCATGCTGTGTGCAGCTGGAAAAAAAAACCATCAGGAATTTTTTCTTCACCGTTCGTTTCTCAGAATGGTAAGGTTTGGATCACTCCCGTAAGTCAGTTACCAAGATTCACACACACAGAGGGCACCCAGACCAGGGAAGAGCATGCAGACTCCACACGGAAGGCTCCCTCAGGCTTGAACTGAACCCAGATCCCAAGAGCTGGGAGGCAGCAGCATCTGCAACCTTTGGACCAGTTTCACTTGTTTCCTGGGGTCAGTAGCTGCTCATTTTTAGAAAATCAGACTAAAACCTTCAGAACAGGGAGTGGGAGCCTGAGATCAGCCTCATAAAACTCCTAAAACCCCAGCAGGCGTCGTGAAGTCATGGCTGTTCTTAAGGGGCGGGTAAAGGCCATAAGACCATTTCACTCCTTCAACTGCTACTTACACCCAGCAGCCAAAAATGATGACAAACATTAAGCAATTTATTAGCACAATTTAAGACTTAATTAAGTAATGGTATTTAAGGGGCTTGAAATTCCACAGACAAGGGCCAGAACCGGAACTTGGGAAGCTCTCAAATTCCTGTCCTTCTGTACCGCTCGAGGATGCACTTCCATGGATCAATCAGACTCTGCTCTGTGGTTTGATGGGGGCGTCTCCTCCTCCTGCACAGCTCACTCACATCACCAGGCACCTCCTGCCAGGCCTCTCTTCCTGGCTGGCCTTCCGGCGAACCTTTTCTGCAGGACACAGGTATATCGAGAAACGTTAGCGGTCAGTCCCGCTATTCTTTGAAGTCTGTTATTCTTCAAAGGGCTTAGAGAGGCACCTCTCTATCTTCTGCTGCTGGTACACAGGGTGAACTGGAACACTTCCAGCTGACACAGAGCAGGCCTTGGCCGGGGGCATTGGGGGATATGTGGGAGGGGCCACTGCACTGCGAGGGGGCGGGGTTTGTCTATGGGGGTGGATGTTGGTGAATCCGTACTTCTCTCCTGGTCTCAGACACGGCCACGGCCAGATTTCATAGGGAAGTCACCCGAGGGCTTGGAACTGACTGATCGATTAAATTGATAAGAACCTGGGCAGAACTGAGACCTGAGGACCCTGTGGTTCCCCAGCATCGTTCATGACCACGCAAAAATCACACTGATCTTTTCTGCACCACTGCCGTGGGTAAAATCAGGGTTTGCTCCCAAGTAGACCACTGGCTAAGATCAGGGCTTGCTCCCAGGTGGACCACTGGCTAAGATCAGGGC